TGAGCACTCTGATCTGATCTCACTGCCATCAAGTCAATGTTGACTCAGAAAGACCGTATAGGACAGGGTAGAACTTCTCCTGTGAGTTTCTGAGACTAACTCTTTACAGGAGTAGAAAGTCCTATTTTTCTTCCCACAGAGCAGCTGGTGGTTTCACACTGCTGACCTTTCAGATCACAGCCCAACTTGTAACCACTACACCACCAAGTCTTTGAATGAAAACATTAGCAGGATTCAATTATCTTACGAGGAGATGGTAAGACAAATGACTGCAGTAAGTGCATCTTATGGAAGCTTTGAAGCAGCGAACAGCCAAGAAAGGAAATGGGGACCTCGGTCATAACAATTACAAGAAAGTAAATTCTGCCAGCAACCTGGATGAGCTTGAAATAAATTATTCCCTCAGAGCCTTAAGACAAGACCCCATCCAGTATGGTCAACATCTTGGTATTAGCCTTGTGAAACACCTTATGGAGGTGAACACTGACTTCTCACATTCAGAACAGTAAGATAATGTGATTTGTCTTAATAGAATGCATTATCTGGAAAACTGTGTAAAGTATAAGAAAAGAATCGAGCATGTATCTTGCCTATCTTGTACCACCGGGTAAACACATAATAAATGGAGAGAAGCTCTCTTTACCAAATTATTTCTAATAGTATATTTTGAACCCCCAATGAATCTGGTAAAAGGAACCTGGTAACAAAAGGGTTAAGTCAGCGGTTCTCAACTTTCCTAATGCCAAGACCCCTTTAATACAGTTCCTCATGTTGTGGTGACCCCCAACCATAAAATTATTTTCATTGCTACTTCATAACTGTCATTTTGCTACTGTTATGAATCGTCATGTAAATATGATATGCAGGATGTATTTTCATTGTTCCAAATTAAACATCATTAATGCATAGTGATTAATCTCAAAAACAATATGTAATTATATATTGTGAAATATTTATTTCTAGTGACAAAAATTTAAATTTTGTCTTGAAGCATGGTATAGCATGGGTAACAGTCTTCACACTGGGTACTTGTAGGTATGCATATCTGCATGTGGGTGAACCCGCCTGGAGACGGATAGAGGAGCAGAGTGTCGGTTCCTAAGACCATTGAAAATATGTGTTTTCCGATGGTCTTAAGTGAGCCCTGTGAAAGGGTCATTAAACCCCCAAGGGGTCATGACCCACAGGTTGAGAACCGCTGGGTTAAATGTTTAGCTTTTAACCAAAATGTTCTAAGTTTTTATCCTCCCAAAGGCTCCCTGAAAGAAGTATCTTGTAATCTACTCCTGTGAAAAATATCTTGAGGCAGAACAGCAGCGGAAAGAGTCAAGAACAAGCGGAAGAAATAAAAGGTGTAGTTAATTACCTCCATGAACAACTGCTTCCTTTGCCATGAGTCCAGAAGAAATAGATGGTGCCCAGTTGCCATTACTAAACATTTTTATCTAAGAATCCATAGAATACTGATCAAAAGGGAAAAAATTCACAGTAAAATTTCAAATTCTCAGATACTATTATTTCTGGACAAAACTATTGCCATGAGATAATCTTTAAACCTTAAGCCAAAATATCCCCTGACGACATCTTAAAACTGAACAATAGTTTAACTAGTAAAAAACGGTGTGCTTTGAACACTTTAAGGAGATCAAACTGACAAGAGTAACCCAAAGGACAAAATGCCTTATTGGGCAGCCAGTTGAAATTAATGAGGGAAGGACTCAAAAAAGAAAAGGGAGAATTGGCCGCATAATTCCAAGAATGTAACAAATGTCACTACGCTGTACAAACTATGGAACAGATGCATGCTTTTCTGATTTTATTTCTTGTTCTTTTCTCAATTATTAACAAGTAAGATCTTAAAGGAAAAAAATTATTAAATAGGTCTAAATTACATTACATAGGTCTAAATCAATGTTGATGGCACCTAACAACAAACAGAGTATCAAAAATCAGACATGTGCCTCTCAATAAAAGAACACAACACTACCTATTGTCTTGTTAAAAGTCTTTTAACAGAGCCTCTAATCCAGTCTTTGGATCCAGCTGCAATTTGCAAGAAAAACAAGAGAACAGAGTAGGGGAATGTGTGATTGTACCATGAGTATGTAATCTCTAAAATTCAGACTGACAATCTCCTACAAAGTATGTGCATTCTTCAATTAGTAAATTGCAAAGAAAAAGCATCAAGCTTTTTTTTTTTTTAACATTTTATTAGGGGCTCATACAACTGTTATCCCAATCCATACACACATCAATTGTGTAAAGCGCATTTGTACA